AACTAATGTAATTAAAAACTAATATACTGAAATAATATTCCCCATATACAAGTAGATTTTTAGTAAATAAAAGATGGAAAAAGTAACATACAGTAGATTCTTGAGAAGTTTTGCATTACATGGCTGATCTTTCCTTCCTTCCTTCCTTCCTTCCTTCCTTCCTTCCTTCCTTCCTTCCTTCCTTCCTTCCTTCCTTCCTCTTTCTTTCTCTCTCTCTCCCTTCCTTCTTTTTTCTTTCTTTCTTTCTTTCTTTCTTTCTTTCTTTCTTTCTTTCTTTCTTTCTTTCTTTCTTTCTTTCTTTCTTTTCTGTCTTCCTTTCTTCCTTCCTTCCTTCCTCTCTCTTTCTTTCTTTCTTTCTTTCTTTCTTTCTTTCTTTCTTCTTCCTTCCTTCCTTCCTTCCTTCCTTTCTTTCTTTTCAGAAATGTATGATCATGGCAGAACAAAGTCAAGTTTGGATCGGCTCTGCAGATTCCGTCATTTATTTGATCAACACCCACAGCATGTCTTGCAATAAGCAACTGAACGACCATCGCTTTGAAATTGTGGACATCGTGGTGGATAACAGAGAGAGCCTCCCCAGGTGGGTGGAGGATAGTGTGTGTGTGTGTGTGTGTCCCTTATTAAAAATCCAGAGGAAGAACTTCGGGAGGAGCCAGTGACAGGAAGAGCTGATCTGGAAAGTCCAGAATTGGGCAAGGACCGGTTTGGCTCCCAGGTGCAGACTGCCTGGGGACTAACTTTCCAGGGGGATAATTTCCCGCTGAAAGATCTTCCAACAAATGCTAAAAAAATGAAAGGTCTCCAACCCGGCCCGGAAAGGGAGGCAGGCACCGCTACGTGCATGTGTGCAAATGGGCCGCGCACACGCATAAAAATGATGCACATGCACACAAATGGGCCACACGCGAGCACATGTGCACACACAAACAGGGCTGCACGGGCGCGAGTGCTGCAAATGGGGTGGCGCTAACACCGGTAGGATGCTCTGGGGTGGGGTCATGCTAGTGCCGGCGGGATGCTTGGAGCGGCACTAGCGCTAATGGTGAGAGCATGCCCGGTGACCAAGCAGCCACGGCCCGGTAGTGGACTGTGGCCCACAGGTTGTGGACCCCTGCATTAAACTTTCCTGTAGCAAAAGTTAAGGCAGACCTTATTTGGGAATTGAGTAACAGAAGAGCTAGAAGGGACCTTGGAGGTCTTCTAGTCCAGCCCCCTGCTCAAGCAGGAGACCCTATACCATTTCAGACAAGTGGCTGTCCAGTCTCTTCTTGAAGACCTCCAGTGTTAGACTGAAGAAACAGTAGAGATTGGATCTGCCATACAGATAGTCCTTGATTTATGAGCAGATACTTAGGGCCTGTTCGAAGTTATGACCGACCTTCCTGGGGGTTCTTTTGACCTGGTTCCAAAGTACTGATGGATCCCTCGCCGGGGTCATCTACCTCTGCAACCAGCTCACATTTACAGCTCTTTTCCAGCATCCTGTGGTCCTGTGACAACATTTTGTGCCGTTTTTTGCCAAAAAAACTTCCATTTGCTTCTGGGTTTTTGGCAAAACCTCCCCAAAGCAAACCACAACCCCCTCAAAACGGCCCTAAAATTGGGTCGGTCTTGTAGGCTCACGTGATTTACGACTATCACGTCTTAGGATTTTAACGATGCACAGGCTCCATCCCGGCCATCACTGGAGGACTACCTGGGCTGATTTTTGCACCGGTTTGTAAGAAGTGTGTTTTTTCACCCCTTTGAGTAGTGAGGCGTATTCCTGCAGCGTGGACGGCACAGTCATTGCTTGGAACATCAGCACTTTGAAAGTGAACCGCCGATTCCAGCTGCCCTACGAAACGGTGACTTCGATTCAGTTCTACAAGAACCGACTTTGGTGCTGTGAGTTTCCCGCACGGCTCCCGGATGGATTTGAAGTGCGGGTGGCCAGAGCCCTCCCTCCGTCCCGGGATCACACGATTGCATTTTGGTTGCTTAGCAACCTGCCCCCCATCACAGCTGTTTGCAGCATCCCATGGTTACACGAATGTGATTTGTGACCTTTTTTTTGGCTGGAAACCGGCATTTACTTCCGGTTCCCATCCAGAACGCCCACTATGGCCAGTGGGTTCACTCATTGACTATGGATTTGCTTAACGACCGCCGAGAAAAATAAAATAAAATCAGGTCAACCACATAACGGTACCCTTAACAACCAGCACAAGTTACGACTGCAATTCCAGGCTTCAGTTACGGCCCTAAGACTCCCTTTATGCAACCCCCCCCCCCCAGTTTTATTCCCCATGAATTTAAGCGGATGGGATTAATTCCATGTTTACCATTTAAATCCCCTTTTGCTTTTCGCCACCGTCCCGTGTCACCGTCTGTTTTGGTGGGGTTATTTCCAGCCCTAAACTCTTGTGTTGTCTGTTTGCTTTAAGGTGTACAAGACCACATCGTTGTGGTCACCACAAACGGGCTGGTTCGCCAACAGCTGAAGCTGCAGAACGTGCCCAGCGGACTCCCGACGCCTTTGCTCTGCTTCCAGTTGTTTCCCGAGGTAACCTGTTCCTAGCGTGGCAGGGGTCGTCCTTGACGTACGACCGCAATCGAGGCCAACATTTTTGGTTGCTAAGCGAGACAGCTGTTAAGGGAACTTTGCCCGATTTTACGACCTTTGGTTCCCACCGTTGCTAAATGAATCAGTGCAGTTGTGATGACCCAGGGCACAGCAGTAGTTGAGCCTGCCTGCATTGTTCCCTCCTTCTCTCCACTCTCCGTGCTCTAGGATCAGGTGGGGGTGGCCCTTGCTCATCGCCTGAACTCTGCCTCTCCTGTTCATCCTGTCCCACTCCTGAAGGGCCCTGGCCTGCCTCGGCCTGCTCTTCCCCACATTCCTCTGAAGCCACAGACACCTCTCCCTCGGCCTCCCGTTCCAGCTCATTTTCCTCCGCAGATTCAGGCTCCGACAGAGACATAACAGCAGTTGTTAAGTTAGTAACATGGTTCTTCAGCAAATCTGCCTTCCCCCGTTGACTTCGTGCTTCAGAAAGTGACAAAAGGGGACCACGTGACCCCAGGGTATACATACACGCGTCCGTCACAAACCTGAATCGGTTGCCAAGTTACAACAGCACTAAAAAAGAGTGACTTCTGATCATTTTTCACACTTAACAATTGTTGCAGTATCACCGTGGTCCCGTGATCAACATTTGGAAGCAGTAGCAATAGCACCTAGACTTATTTTCCGCTTCACAGGGCTTCACAGCCCTCTCTAAGCGGTTTATGGAATCAGCCTATTGCCCCAATCAATCTGGGTCCTCATTTTGCTGACCTTGGAAGGATGGAAGGCTGAGTCAACCTTGAGCTGGTCAGGATCGAACTGCTGGCTGTGGGCAAACTCAGCCTGCAAAACTGCATTCTAACCATTGCGCCACCAGGAAGGAAAGAAGGAGGGAGGGAGGGAGGGAGGAAGGAAACGCAATAGCATTTAGACTTATATACCGCTTCACAGTGCTTTACAGCCCCCTGCAAGCGGTTTAGAGTCAGCCTATTGCCCCCAACAATCTGGGTCCTCATTTCACCGACCTCGGAAGGATGTAAAGCTAAGTCAACCGGTCAGGATCGAACTGCCAAACTGCTGGCAGTCAGCAAAATTAGCCTGCAGTACTGCATTCTAACCACTGCGCCACCGCGGCTCTATTCGACACGGTTGTCTGATGTTGCCTGCTTTTTTTTTCATGTTGGTCTTAGCGGGATGAAGCGTGGGCTTCGTGGTCCGGCAGCAGCGAGCTCTTCATCTGGAAGATGGAGGATTTCTCAACCCCCTTGCAGAAGCTGAGCCTGTCGGACTGTTCAGAAATCACCTGCGTGATCAAAGTGAAAAACCAGGTGCGCCAAGCGTGTAGGAATTCTCCTTGCTGGTTTTTTTTTTTTGTTCTGCTGGCTTTTTGTAGTGATCTTGGCCAAAATGGGGGTGTCGTGGGTGACCACAAGTCCATCTCTTTGCTTAAAATGAGAGCCAGTTTGGTCCTAGTGGTTAAGACACCAGGATAGAAACCAGGAGACCGTGAGTTTTAGTCACGCCTTCGCCGTGAAAACCAGCAAGGTGACTTTGGGCCAATCATTAGGAGACGGTGAGTTCTAGTCCTGCTTTAGACATGAAAGTCGGATGGCTGACTTTGGGCCAATCACCAGGAGACAGTGAGTTCTAGTTCTGCCTTAGCCATGAAAGCCGGATGGGTGACTTTGGGCCAATCACCAGGGGACGGTGAGTTCTAGTCCCGCCTTAGGCATGAAAGCCGGCTGGGTGACTTTGGGCCAATCACCAGGAGACGGTGAGTTCTAGTCCCGCCTTAGGCATGAAAGCCGGCTGGGNAACTAATGTAATTAAAAACTAATATACTGAAATAATATTCCCCATATACAAGTAGATTTTTAGTAAATAAAAGATGGAAAAAGTAACATACAGTAGATTCTTGAGAAGTTTTGCATTACATGGCTGATCTTTCCTTCCTTCCTTCCTTCCTTCCTTCCTTCCTTCCTTCCTTCCTTCCTTCCTTCCTTCCTTCCTTCCTTCCTCTTTCTTTCTCTCTCTCTCTCTCTCCCTTCCTTCTTTTTCTTTCTTTCTTTCTTTCTTTCTTTCTTTCTTTCTTTCTTTCTGTCTTTTCTGTCTTCCTTCCTTCCTCTTTCTCTTTTTCTTTCTTTCTTTCTTTCTTTCTTTCTTTCTTTCTTTCTTTCTTTCTTTCTTTCTTTCTTCTTTCTTTCTTTTTTCTTTCTTTCTTCTTCCTTCCTTCCTTCTTTCCTTCCTTCCTTCCTTCCTTCCTTCCTTCCTTTCTTTCTGTCTTTTCTGTCTTCCTTCCTTCCTCTTCCTCTCTTTCTTTCTTTCTTTCTTTCTTTCTTTCTTTCTTTCTTTCTTTCTTTCTTTCTTTCTTTCTTTCTTTCTTTCTTTCTTTCTTCTTCCTTCCTTCCTTCCTTCCTTCCTTTCTTTCTTCCTTTCTTTCTTTTCAGAAATGTATGATCATGGCAGAACAAAGTCAAGTTTGGATCGGCTCTGCAGATTCTGTCATTTATTTGATCAACACCCACAGCATGTCTTGCAATAAGCAACTGAACGACCATCGCTTTGAAATTGTGGACATCGTGGTGGATAACAGAGAGAGCCTCCCCAGGTGGGTGGAGGACAGCATGTGTGTGTGTGTGTCCCTTATTAAAAATCCAGAGGAAAAACTTCGGGAGGAGCCAGTGACAGGAAGAGCTGATCTGGAAAGTCCACAATTGGGCAAGGACTGGTTTAGCTCCCAGGTGCAGACAGCCTGGGGACTAACTTTCCGGTGGGATAATTTCCGCTGAAAGATCGTCCTACGAATGCTAAAAAAATGAAAGGTCTCCAACCTGGCCCGGAAAGGGAGGCAGGCACCGCTACGTGCGTGTGTGCAAATGCACACTCGTGTAAAAATGACCCCCATGCACATGCGCACAAATGGGCCACACGTGAGCGCATGTGCACACACAAACAGGGCTGCACGTGCACGAGTGCTGCAAATGGGGTGGTGCTAGCGTCGGTGGGATGCTCTGGGGCGGGGCGATGCTAGTGCTGGCGGGATGCTCGGGGCGGTGCTAGCACCAGTGGGATGCTCAGGACGGCACTAGCACTAGTGTGAGGGTGAGAGCATGCCCGGTGACCAAACGGCCACGGCCCGGTAGTGCAGGTTGAGGACCCCTGCATTAAACTTTCCTGTAGCAAAAGTTAAGGCAGATCTTATTTGGGAATTGACGAACAGAAGAGCTAGAAGGGACCTTGGAGGTCTTCTAGTCCAGCCCCCTGCTCAAGCAGGAGACCCTATACCATTTCAGACAAGTTGCTGTCCAGTCTCTTCTTGGAAGACCTCCAGTGTTAGACTAAAGAAACAGTAGAGATTGGATGTGCCATACAGATAGTCCTTGATTTATGACCAGACACTTAGAGCCTGTTCGAAGTTATGACCGACCTTCCTGGGGGTTCTTCTGACCTGGTTCCAAGGTACTGATGGATCCCTCGCCGTGGTCATGTGCCTCTGCAACCAGCTTGCATTTACAGCTTTTTTCCGGCATCCTGCGGTCCCGTGACAACGTTTCGTGCCGGGTTTTTTGCCAAAAAACTTCCATTTGCTTCTGGGTTTTTGGCAAAACCTCCCCAAAGCAAACCACAACCCTCTCAAAACAGCCCTAAAATTGGGTCGGTCTTTTAGGCTCACGTGATTTACGACTATCACGTCTTAGGATTTTAACGACGCACAGGCTCCATCCCGGCCGTCACTGGAGGACTACCTGGGCTGATTTTTGCACCGGTTTGTAAGAAGTGTGTTTTTTCACCCCTTTGAGCAGCGAGGCGTATTCCTGCAGCGTGGACGGCACAGTCATTGCTTGGAACATCAGCACTTTGAAAGTGAACCGCCGATTCCAGCTGCCCTACGAAACGGTGACTTCGATTCAGTTCTACAAGAACCGACTTTGGTGCTGTGAGTTTCCCGCACGGCTCCCGGATGGATTTGAAGTGCGGGTGGCCAGGGCCCTCCCTCCCGGGGTCACATGATTGCATTTTGGCTGCTTAGCAACCTGCCCCCCCCCATCACAGCTGTTTGCAGCATCCCATGGTTACACGAATGTGATTTGTGACCTTTTTTTTGGCTGGAAACCGGCATTTACTTCCGGTTCCCATCCAGAATGCTCACTATGGCCAGTGGGTTCACTCATTGACTATGGATTTGCTTAACGACCGCCGAGAAAAATAAAATCAGGTCAACCACATAACGGCAGGCTTAACCACCAGCATGAGTTACGACTGCAATTCCAGGCTCGGTTATGGCCCTAAGACTCCCTTTATGCAAATCCCCCCCCCAGTTTTATTCCCCGTGAATTTAAGCGGATGGGATTAATTCCATGTTTACCATTTAGAGCCCCTTTTGCTTTTCACCGCCGTCCCGTGTCACCGTCTGTTTTAGTGGAGTTATTTCCAGCCCTAAACTCTTGTGTTGTCTGTTTGCTTTAAGGTATACAAGACCACATCGTTGTGGTCACCACAAACGGGCTGGTTCGCCAACAGCTGAAGCTGCAGAACGTGCCCAGCGGACTCCCGACGCCTTTGCTCTGCTTCCAGTTGTTTCCCGAGGTAACCTGTTCCTAGCGTGGCAGGGGTCGTCCTTGACGTACGACCGCAATCGAGGCCAACATTTTTGGTTGCTAAGCGAGACAGCCATTAAGGGAACTTTGCCCGATTTTATGATCTTTGGTTCCCACCGTTGCTAAGTGAATCAATGCAGTTGTGATGACCCAGGGCATAGCACAGAGGCAATGCAGTCAGCTGGCAATTCAAACACTTCTTTTATGGCTGCAAATTCTCCCCAAATGCTCCCACTTTTGCTGGCAAGCCTCCAACACAAGAACATACACGCACACCCCTTCAGCCGACTCTGGCTGAAAGTAGGTTCAAACACAGTCTGATTAGCATAAGAAAGTACTCAAGGCCATTGAGATAACAAGGAAGAAAACATAAACTTAACGAGTCTGTTTGAATCCGAGCTTGTTTGAGCAGCTTTCAAAAGAGAGAATCCGAAATACAGTCCGAGGTCTTTAAACATTCAAGTAACGTGGTCAGTCAATCCAGTAGTCTGAGTTTCCAGGTTTCCAAACACAAGTCACAGAACAAGAGATCAGCAACAATACACAACACTCCAAGGAATCAGCGTTTGTTCCCGACAAATGCCTCTCCACACAGCGTCTCCTTAAATCTCAGTCTCCAGGTGTTCCTTGTGGAGAAGGGTGGGACGCTCTCCTCCTGAGTAGTTGAGCCTGCCTGCGTTATTTCCTCTTTCTCTCCACTCTCTGTGCTCTAGGATCAGGAGGGGGTGGCCCTTGCTCATCGCCTGAACACTGCCTCTCCTGTTCATCCTGTCCCACTCCTGAAGGGCCCTGGCCTGCCTCGGCCTGCTCTTCCCCACATTCCTCTGAAGCCACAGACCCCTCTCCCTCGACCTCCACAGGGTCCCCTTCCAGCTCATTTTCCTCCGTAGATTCAGGCTCTGATGGAGGCATAACAGCAGTTAAGTTAGTAACACCATTTTTCAGCAAATCTGGCTGGCCCCCGGTGACTTTGTGCGCCGGAAAGTCGCAAAAGGGGATCACGTGACCCCAGGGTATACATACACGCGTCCGTCACAAACCTGAATCGGTTGCCAAGTTACAACAGCACTAAAAAAGAGTGACTTCTGATCATTTTTCACACTTAACAATTGTTGCAGTATCACCATGGTCCCGTGATCAACATTTGGAAGCAGTAGCAATAGCACCTAGACTTATTTTCCGCTTCACAGGGCTTCACAGCCCTCTCTAAGCGGTTTATGGAATCAGCCTATTGCCCCCATCAATCTGGGTCCTCATTTTGCTGACCTCGGAAGGATGGAAGGCTGAGTCAACCTTGAGCCGGTCAGGATCGAACTGCTGGCTGTGGACAAACTCAGCCTGCAAAACTGCATTCTAACCACTGCGCCACCAGAAAGGAAGGAAGGAAGGAGGGAGGGAGGGAGGGAGGAAAAGCAATAGCATTTAGACATATACCGCTTCACAGTGCTTTACAGCCCCCTCTAAGCAGTTTATGGAGTCAGTCTATTGCCCCCAACAATCTGGGTCCTCATTTTACCGACCTCGGAAGGATGGAAAGTTGAGTCAAGCGGTCAGGATCGAACTGCCAAACTGTGGCAGTCAGCAAAATTAGCCTGCAGTACCGCATTCTAACCACGGCGCCACCACGGCTCTATTCGACACGGTTGTCTGATGTTGCCTGCTTTTTTTTTTCATGTTGGTCTTAGCGGGATGAAGCGTGGGCTTCGTGGTCCGGCAGCAGCGAGCTCTTGATCTGGAAGATGGAGGATTTCTCAACCCCCTTGCAGAAGCTGAGCCTGTCGGACTGTTCAGAAATCACCTGCGTGATCAAAGTGAAAAACCAGGTGCGCCAAGCGTGTAGGAATTCTCCTTGGTGGGTTTTTTTTTTTGTTCTGCTGGCTTTTTGTAGTGATCTTGGCCAAAATGGGGGTGTTGTGGGTGACCACAAGTCCATCTGTTTGCTTAAAATGAGAGCCAGTTTGGTCCTAGTGGTTAAGACACCAGGACAGAAACCAAGAGACCGTGAGTTTTAGTCACACCTTCGCCGTGAAAACCAGCAAGGTGACTTTGGGCCAATCATTAGGAGACGGTGAGTTCTAGTCCTGCTTTAGACATGAAAGTCGGATGGCTGACTTTGGGCCAATCACCAGGAAACAGTGAGTTCTAGTCCCGCCTTAGGCATGAAAGCCGGCTGGGTGACTTTGGGCCAATCACCAGGAGACAGTGAGTTCTAGTCCCGCCTTAGGCATGAAAGTCGGATGGCTGACTTTGGGCCAATCACCAGGAAACAGTGAGTTCTAGTCCCGCCTTAGGCATGAAAGCCGGCTGGGTGACTTTGGGCCAATCACCAGGAGACGGTGAGTTCTAGTCCCGCCTTAGGCATGAAAGTTGAATGGGTGACTTTGGGCCAATCACCAGGAGAAGGTGAGTTCTAGTCCCGCCTTAGGCATGAAAGCCGGCTGGGTGACTTTGGGCCAATCACCAGGAGACAGTGAGTTCTAGCTCTTCCTTAGGCATGAAAGTTGGATGGCTGACTTTGGGCCAATCACTAGGAGACAGTGAGTTCTAGTCCCGCCTTAGGCATGAAAGTCGGATGGGTGACTTTGGGCCAATCACCAGGAGACAGTGAGTTCTAGTTCTGCCTTAGGCATGAAAGCTGGCTGGGTGACTTTGGGCCAATCACTAGAAGACAGTGAGTTCTAGTCCCACCTTAGGCATGAAAGTTGGATGGGTGACTTTGGGCCAATCACCAGGAGACGGTGAGTTCTAGTTCTGCCTTAGGCATAAAAGCCAGCTGGGTGGGCCAGTCACTCACTCTCAGCCCCCCCCCCCCACCTCACAGGATTGTCGTTGTGGGAAAAACAAGAGGAAGAAGGAGTACTAGATATATTTGCTACCTTCAGTATTTATAAAAATCAATAAAGGACTTAAGTGTTCAAAAGGACAGGGTGGACAAGAATCCGCTTTCATAGACCAATTACAACCTATTTTATTGGTCAATAAAGATAAAATTGTTCAAAGCTCCTGGCTCAAAGGAAGAAGGAAGTGTTTAGAAGAAAGGGGCAAGCCAACTGAACATTTAATGTGATTTATTTAATAAATCACCTATTATGGGGCCAGACTTCTGATCTGCTCTGTGACTTTATACATGGCTTTACCACTAGGAGGCAGTGAACGATCATTTTACTTACATTATACCAGCAGGTGTAAAACCAGAAATACACCCTGAAATATTTTTTCCCATTTTAGAGAACCTCTAATATGAGGGCATGACCTAACATCGTCACTCTAATTGTCTAGTCCGGTGTTTCTCAAACCTGGCAACTCTTAAGATGTGTGGACCTCAACTCCCTGAATTCCCCAGCCAGCATGTGTGCTTGTTGCAAAAATAAAAATAAAAATAAAGAACATTTAGTTTAATCAATGCCCAAAGAGTAACAGATGAGTCCATGTGCCTCCTTTTCCCTTCCAGGCCTCTACTAGATGCATGTCCTAAAACGGGTAGGCAACCTGGGCTCTTTTATGACTCGTGGACTTCAACTCCCAGAATTCCTGAGCCAGCATGGCTCAGCTTGGAAACCTCTCCCTTTCCCCTCAGCATGGCTGGCTCAGGAATTCTGGGAGTTGAAGTCCACGAACCATAAAAGAGCCAAGGTTGCCTACTTCTGGCCTAGGCCGCTTTCTGACTCGTGGACTTCAACTCCCAGAATTCCTGAGCCAGTATGGCTCAGCTTGGAAACCTCTCCCTTTCCCCTCAGCATGTCTATCTCAGGAATTCTGGGAGTTGAAGTCCATGAATCATAAAAGAGCCAAGGTTGCCTACTTCTGGCTTAGGCCGCTTTCTGACTCGTGGACTTCAACTCCCAGAATTCCTGAGCCAGCATGGCTCATCTTGGAAACCTCTCCCTTTCCCCTCAGCATGGCTGGCTCAGGAATTCTGGGAGTTGAAGTCCACGAATCATAAAGAGCCAAGGTTGCCTACTTCTGGCCTAGGCCGCTTTCTGACTCGTGGACTTCAACTCCCAGAACTCCTGAGCCAGCATGGCTCAGCTTGGAAACCTCTCCCTTTCCCCTCAGCATGGCTGGCTCAGGAATTCTGGGAGTTGAAGTCCACGAATCCTAAAAGAGCCAAGATTGCCTACCTCTGGCCTAGGCCTAGGCAGCTTTCTGACTCGTGGACTTCAACTCCCAGAATTCCTGAGTCGGCATGGCTCAGCTTGAAAACCTCTCCCTTTCCCTTCAGCATGGCTGGCTCAGGAATTCTGGGAGTTGGAGTCCATGAGTCCTAAAAGAGCCCAGGTTGCCTACCCCTGTCCTAAAAGCTTTATTTCCTTTCCAGATGTGGGTCGGCGGCCGAGGACTCTCCCAAGGGAAGGTCAAAGGGAAGGTCTACGTGGTGGATATGGAAAGGAAACTGGTGGAAAAAGAGCTGGTTGGACACCCGGATGTCGTGAAGTCCTTGTGCTCTGCAGAGGATCGATACGTCCTGAGTGGAGGCGGAAAGGAAGAAGGGAAGATTGCGATCTGGAAGGTGGAAGAGAGTCTGGGCTTCCAGTTCGTTTAACGAATCATTTAAAAAACCTGAATATAGAAGCTAATGTTTCTTTTAATTTATTTCTGCCACAAATTGCATTACAAGGCCGTCCTCAACTTACAACAGTTCATTTCCTGACCGTTCAAAGCTACAGCGGCAGCGAAAAAGGTGACTTACGACCGTTTTTTACAGTTAACGACCCTGGCAGCAGCCCCAAAGGTCACGTGATCAAAATCCCTGGTTCATACTTATGACGGTCGCAGCGTCCCGGGGTCATGTGATCCTCTTTTGCGACCTTCCAACGAGCGAAGTCAACGAGGGAAAGGCGGTTTCACTAAACAGCCGGCTTACTCACTTATCAACTGCAGTGATCCACTTAACAACTCTGGCGAGAAAGGTCGTAAAATGGGGGCAAAGCTCACTTAACAAATGTCTCACTTAGCAACGGAAATTTTGGGCCCAATTGTGGCCGTAATTCGAGGACTACCTGTACTAAGAAGACAGCGTAGTCGGGAATCCCTGAATCCTTGTTAATACAGGCTGTCCTCGACTTACGGTTTCCCCCATTTTACGACCTTTCACACCACAGTCGTTAAGCGAATCACTGCTGATGTTAGGTTAGTAACATCGTTGTTAAGTGAATCTGGATTCCCCTCTTTGACTTTGCTTGTCGGAAGGTCGCAGAAGGGGATCGTGTGACCTCCGGAACACGGCCACCGTCATAAGTACGAATCAGTTTCCAAGTGCCTGAATTTTGATCACGTGACCTCTGATGATGCTGCGACAGTCGTAAGTGTGAAAAACGGTTGTAAGTCACTTTTTTCAGCGCCGTTGTAACTTCGAACGCTCGCTAAATGAACTGCTGTACCTTGAGAACTACCTGTCTATGTTAGTTCTTCCTAGCTGTGGATAGGAGACTGAGTAATACTATACCATATTGTAAATATTAGAGAATTATGTAACTTTTTGAAGGCTGACAGACTTCTAATAAAACCAGGACGTTTGAAAAGAGCTGCAATGAACTTTTTCTTTTTTTTAAAAAAAAAAGTGTAATTATCCACATGAAATGCCAAAGAAATACCAAACAAAAATACTATTAAATGCCAAACAGACATAGCCAAGGATAATAATAATATTATAATAATAAAGTTGGAAGGGATCTTGGAGGTCATCTAGTTTCCTGCTCAGGCAGGAAACCCTATACCATTTCAGACAAATGGCTGTCCAGTCTCTTCTTAAAAACTTCCAGTGTTGGAACATTCACCGCTTCTGGAGGCAGGTTGTTCCACTGGTTAATTGTTCTAACTGTCAGGAAGTTTCTCCTTAGTTCTAGGTTGCTTCTCTCCTTGATGAGTTTCCATCCGTTGTTCTTGTCCTGCCTTCAGGCGCTTTGGAGAATAGCTTGACTCCCTCTTCTTTGGGGCAGCCCCTGAGATATTGGAACACTGCTATCATGTCCCCCTTCGTCCTTCTCTTCATTAAACTAGACATACCCAATTCCTGCAACCGTTCCTTATATGCTTTAGCCTCCAGTCCACTAATCATCTTTGTTGCTCTTCTCTGTACTCTTTCTAGAGTCTCAGCATCTTTTTTACATCGTGACCAAAACTGGAAGCAGTATTCCAAGTGTGGCCTTACCAAGGCATTGTAGAGTGGTATTAATACTTCAGGTGATCTTGATTCTATCCCTCTGTTAATGCAGCCTAGCACTGTGTTGGCTTTTTTGGCAGCTGCAGCACACAGCTGGCTTATATCTCAGGGATTGTCCACTAGGAGTCCGAGATCCCTTTCACAGTTGGTACTATTGAGCAAGGTACCTCCTATACCAGGGGTGTCAAACTGCTGGCCCACGGGCTGGATGCGCTACGTGGAACCGCGCCCACCCCATTGCCGGCAATGGCAAAACCGACCCGATATGTTGTGCGACATCATGTGACATCGCAAATTTGACATTTCTGCCCTATACTATACCTGTACATTAGGTTTTTCTTGCCTAAATGTAGAAGCTTACTTTTTTCACCATTGAATTTCATTTTGTTAGATAGCGCCCCGTGTTCAAGTCTGTCCAGATACTCCTATATCTTAAGCCTGTCCTACAAAAAAGTCAGACATCTCTCCAAGGAGAGTGAACATTCTATCAACTTCCCACTCAAGTCTCCGCAGAAAATCAAAGAGCTAAAAAAAATAGAGGAAGAAAAAAGAAGAAGAAATAATCGGTGAACACAGTACTACACAACGCACCCAAGGTCACAAATGGGGAGAAAGAGGAAACAGGGCAGGCAACTGCAAACTCGACCTCATTTGCCTCTGCTACCGGTGGTCCTTGGCTTAACGACCGCAGTTGGGGCTAGAATTTCAGGGCGGCCATAAAATGTGTCATGTGACTGGACTCAACTTTATAACCACTTTCACCGTGCCTGGCTGAGGAATTCTGGGAGTTGAAGTCCACAAGTCATCAAAGGGCCACGTTTGAAGACCCCTGCTCTAGCTATTCATTTACCCAGAGGGGGGAAACCCCATTAAAGAGAGGGAAAGTAACCTTAGACCAGTGGTTCTCAACCTTTTTAATGCCGCGATCCCCAACCGGTCGTAAGTCGAGGACTAAACCGGTCGTAGGTCGAGGACTAAATCGGTCGTAAGTCGAGGACTACCCAACCAGTCGTAAGTCGAGGACTTTCCCTGCCCGGGAGCGCCGCACATGCGTGGTTCCGCCCCCTGCGCTGGCCGAGGCGTAGCTGGCAAGCGGCAGAGACGGAGCAGGCCGACCACCAGCTGGCCCAGCCCAAGGGAGGTAAGGCACCCGCCGGAAAAGGGGGAAAAAATGGCAGACAGCCTTGCTTGGCGACCCCCGTGAAATGGTCGATCGACCCCAAATGGGGTCGCGACCCATAGGTTGAGAACCGCTGCCTTAGACTAAGGATCCCATCTGTGATGCTCGGGAATTAGGAAAACGGGAGATCTCCTTGGGAAGCGTCCGTGAAAATGGCTTGCTCAGCAACCGAACCCCTGTCGAAGTGCATCCCTAACGCAAAAAGCCCTCTGGCCGTCTGGATTTTGGCAGGCGGAGCAATTTCCCACAGCCCCCTTTTCCTTGCGTGTGTAACATTACTCAGGCTTTTCCCAAGTTCTTCGGTTTCTGAACTCTGGCAATCACCGAGACGGGTTTCCGAGAATTTATAAGCAACCGGCAGCCTTGTTGACTTTGCTGAGGCTCAGTCACTAGGCCAGGTCTGGCCGCTGACCTCTCTCTGCCTGGAGATGAGCCGGCCTCCAGGCTAACACGGTTCAGGGCAGACAAGCTGGTGTGCAGGAGCGGAAAGAGACATTTTAAAGAAAGAGAAGAATGATGTTTTAGCAGGGTGGAAAGGAGCTGGAAATCCTGATCCTCGCTGGGGGGGAGGAAAAGAAACTTAACTAACGTACTACGGTATCTGTCTGTTGAGGAATTAGATCTCTCTACTTCAATGAATAGTGACAGATTTTATCTTCCTGGGCTCCAAGATCACCACAGATGGGGACTGCAGCCACGAAATTAAAAGACGCTTGCTCCTGGGGAGGAAAGCTATGGCAAATCTAGACAGCATACTAAAAAGCAGAGACATCACCCTGCCAACAAAAGTGTGTATAGTCAAGGCCATGGTTTTCCCAGTTGCAACGTATGGCTGGGAAAGTTGGACCGTAAGAAAGGCTGAGCGCCAAATAATGGAGGCCTTTGAACTGTGGTGCTGGAGAAGACTCCTGCGAGTCCCCTGGACTGCAAGGCGATCAAACCGGTCAGTCCTGGAGGAGATCCACCCCGACTGCTCTTGAGAAGGCCAGATCCTGAAGTTGAAACTCAAGTCCTTTGGCCACCTAAGGAGAAGGAAGGACTCACTGGAGAAGAGCCTAATGCTGGGAAAGATGGAGGGCAAGAGAAGAAGGGGATGACAGAGAAGGAGGTGGCTGGATGGAGTCACTGAAGCAGTAGGCCTGAGCTTCAATGGACTCCAGAAGATGGCAGAGGACAGGAAAGCCTGGAGGAACGTTGTCCATGGGGTAGTGATAGGTCGGACACGGCCTCGCAACTAACAACAACAACTTCAATGAAAAGAAGGACCAGGGTGACATGATAGAATGGTCCAATATTTGAGGGGCTGCCAGAACGAAGAGAGGGGTCAACTTATTTTCCAAAGCACCAGAAAGCAGGACAAGAAACAATAGATGGAAACTCATCAAGGCGAGAAGCAATCTGGAATTAAGGTGAGGACAACCTGCCTGCAGAAGTTGTGAATGCTCCAGCACTGCAGGTGTTTCAGAAGAAATTGGACAACCATTTGTCTGAAATGGTATAGGGCAGGGGTGTCAAACTCAATTTCATTGAGGACCGCATCAGCATTGCAGTTGCCCTCGGGGGGGGGAGAGCGGATGGGTGTGGCCAGGGTGGGTGTGGCCTATTGGGTGGGCATGGCCAGCTCTACTTCGTTCGCATCAAGGTTGCCTGTGGGGGCCTGGGCAGGAGTGGGACAGATCTGAGGGTCTCTGGCAGAAGGGGGTGGAACCGGGGCAAGTGCCAAGGCATGGTCCACTGGAGGAGCCTCACTGCCTGCTGAAACCCCTCCGCCGGAGCCCATCAAGCCGGATATGTGAAGTAGGCGAGGGCCATTTGCTGGCCACTTCCAGGCGATGGTGCATTTCTTCATTCCTCACAAAGGGTGACACCTCCCCAGCATGCACCCAGGGGCCGGGGCGATGCAGCAGGGGCCGGTTCCTCGCTGTTTTCAGATGGTCTTTTGGAGCTAATACTGAATGCGTTTCAGCATAGTTGGCCACCACAAAATTGTACATTGGCTCCTGGCCGGCCTGGGCCAGGGCCAAGGCAGCGGGGCCCATTCCCTCACTGTTTCCAGGATGGCTTCGTAGGCCAAATAAAACCACTTTGCGGGCCGCCTCCGGTCCCCGGGCCTTGTGTTTGACATGTCTGGTATAGGGTTTCCTGCTTGAGCAGGGGGTTGGACTAGATGACCTCCAAGGTCCCTTCCAACTTTCTTATTCTTGTTAATCTGATTGTCCAGTTAAGCTGTTTTATCAGAAAAGCCG